GGAACCTCTCTAACCTCCAAGGCCTCTAGAATCTCACCACCTCCTCTCCTCTCTTTCAATTTTCGGCCAAAATGTTCTTTTAAAGTTGTGGATGAGCTTTCCCAAGAGTTGTCTAAGCATCCCTTCAAAATTTGGCCTTATCCAAAGCTTGAGTAGGCATAACCATCAATCTCGCCGTCAGTGGCCTTGAGGGCGCCGTCGGCGGGCTTCTGAAGAATTTTGTCCTGTAGTCTCGGGAAAAACTAAAAAACTCGCCGTCGGCGGGGTCGAGGGCGCTGTCGGCGGCCTAGTTCAAATCTTCACATTTTGGTCCTTTTCGCTCTAAATTCGTTCTTTTTTGTATCTTTTTTCTCCAATGACCCTAATTCATTATTCCTGCAACAAAATATCAAAAATACCTTTCTTTAAAGTGCAATATCATAAAAAACAGTATAAAATAGGTATGAAAATCTCAACTTATTTTCCTTTGGTCACCCTTGCATTGAGTTTATAATTAGTGTAGGAAAATAATTTTAAAATATAACTATGGTATTGTGTCAAATAGGAGAAATTTTATTCTTTATCCTCAGTGAAGTGTATAAAGAACATTGGCTACTCTATGGACAGGTCCCTAAACCCGTGGTTAGGCTGGAAAAATACGAGCTCTCACTCTAGAGTTCCCACTTCTCCTCCCCTGAGGGCTAACATCTTGCTTTAATTTTCAAACATCTGGAAAAAAATGGGGATTTTAGTCTGTCACTCTAAAATCTTCAATTTTACGCCCATCAAAACTTATTTCTCTTTTTATTTGCAGTTAACCTTGAGGACTACCTTCTCATCCATGAAGCTAAATGTGATTCATACTATGTTGGAACATAGCCCATAATAATAGGTCGCTACATTTTACAACAAATTTTAACAAATCAATTGGTCAAATTGACAAGTAAATGAAGCATAGAGTTTGAATCATCACAGTTTATGGAGTTTTAAAAGCATTCCTACTAAACTACATTCCTACACAAAATTATTCCTTATTGCATGGAAAAAGGCAAAGGTAACTATTCAGATCTCATGGGGAAAAAACAACAAAACATGGATTTTTAGATAAATAAAAGTTTGCAAGATAAGACAAAGTAAAATAAACAAAATACACAGCTTATCTTAAAATCCTTCTAAAGCAATCCTTCAAGTTCCTTTGAATCACTCACTCTCCTTACAATTCACTCCAAACTTACTTGGAATTTGTAGTGAAGAAGATATCTCTTACTTTTCCTCTTCTCCTCCAAATCACAGCAAGTCTTCAAGGCTTTCTCCTCTCTAGAAAGAATCCACTTCTCTACAATAGATTCCTTTTTCTTCCTCTCAAAAGTTTCTTTTTTGAATCTTTTGAAGTCTCTTTAAATAGATCTCTTAAAATCCCCAAGAGACTCTTCATATTCCTCTTCAAAATTCTTTTAAATTCAATGCATCTTATAGATAACCGTCACGGCACCTAGGTGCTAGATTCTGGCGCCTAGGCGCCATATCAACATTGTCCTTTTTGTATCATTTGACCCTAATTTGCTCCATTTACTCCATTTAGTGTGCCTACAACGAAAAACAAGTAAAATTCCTTTCATTAAAGCGCAATATCATTAAAAACATACATTAAATATATAAATAAAAGCAACATATTTTAGGCATGTTAGTTACAACTCTACAACTAGTGCTACTACTAATAAATTTACATTTCATATATTCAGTTTTTGTTCTACTCGAAAGAAGGCTTATAGACTTCACTATAGCCCTCCATAATTCAAGTTTTTCTTGAAGTTTTCACTAGTTTTTTCCATGAGGAGGATATCATCAGCGAAAAGTATACATCGAGGTACATCCTCTTGTAAATGTCCTCTAAGAACATCCATAACTAAAGCAAAAAAGATACGGGCTTAAAGCCGATCCCTGATGTAATCCAACAAAAATATAAAAATATGTTGTCAATCCTTCTTTTGTTCGAGCACAAGTAACAGTTATAATATACATATCTTTAATGACATGAATATAAGTCATATTAAACTTTTCTTCTCTAGAACACTCCAAAGGATTTTCTTGGAACCTTATTGTAAGCTTTTTTATAAATCAATAAAAATCATTTTTAGATCCTCTTCATTCTCTTTGTATTTCTCCATCAAACTTATCAATAAATGTATAGTTTTCATAGTAAACCTGTCCGACATAAATCCAAATTGATTATGAGAAATCTTAGAAACTCATCTTAGCTTATGTTCTATTACTCTCTCCCATGATTTTAAAGTATGACACATCAACTTAATTCCTCTATAAATTGCATACTCTTGTGCATCCCCTTTATTCTTAAGAATGAGGAGCAAAATACTCTTCCTCGACCCAAACATCGTTTTAGCTTTTAAAATAATATTAAAGAATTTAGTAAGCCAATAAACTCCCAAATCTCCAAAATATTTCCATAATTCAATCAGGATATGCTCATGTCTTATTAATTTTCCACCATTAATTTTCTTTAAAGCCTTAAGTAAAAATATATTATTTTATTATTATTAATGATATTAAGATTACTAAGGTTGATCATAATTTCAGAAATTTTATTGAAATTTTTATCAAAATAGCTAACCCACCTATGTTGAATATCTTTTCTAAGAAAATTACGTTTTTATTTTTATGTTTAATACACTTTACTTGAGTTAAGGCTTAACTTTTGTTTTTATTTTTATATTTAATACACTTTACTTGAGTTAAGGCTTAACTTTTCTTTTATTTTTATTTGACTAGTTTATACATATATTTTTCACTCTCTTTAGTATCTAATGTATTATAAAGATCACTAAAAGCAGAATTTTTAGCATCAGAAATTGTTTTCTTTAACTCTTTACATGCCACCTAATTTTTTCCCCAGTTCTCTAAGCTTTTACATTTAAACTAACTATTTTAACTTTTTTATATTTTTTCTTTTCTTACACATTATTATTTGACTATCAACTATTTTTAATTATAAAAACCTTCTTTTTTGATTCTCCAATTTCATATTTTGGCGTTTGTTTAATAATGTTTGTTACTTTATCTCATATAGAATATATTTTTTCATGAACATCTCAAATATTGAAAATTTGAAATTTACTCATAAAAATAATTTTATTCGTTTTTTTCATGTCAACATCTAATTCTATGATAATAAAAAATATCATAATATATAATGAACTTAGTGTGAAGGAATAGTGTTTAAGTTGAAATTAGAGGGATTGACAAGCCATATATTTATCTTAAGTGCAACTATTGAGAAAATATCATTTAAATGTTGTTATAAAAATGAAAGGGAATCTTTCTAGCTCTTACAAATTGTTGCACTATATCCAAGGTGCTTGAGGTGAAAGAGGAGATTTGTGTGTGTGTGAATTAGGTGATTGTATAAAAGCATTTAACATAATGACAATCTAGTTACATAATAGATATTGTTAAGTGTGGAGATTGCAGTCACATCGTGCTTATATCAAAACTGGCATGCATAGCTACATTGGTGTTTCGTTTGTTCTATATTTGGGCATCAAACATTAGGAATAATTACAATGGGTTTTTTACGATGGGTTTCAGTGTGGCTACTTTGAGATAGTTTCTCCATTATGGGGACTTCAATTCATTGATTTAGAGCGGTGGATATTCTCTCGCGTGTGGTATTTTCTTGACCTGGCTTTCTTGTGGAGCATAAAAGAGTCAAGGTGGAGGATTTCTGTGTTTTCTCTCTTATCATGGAGAGAGGGGCATCCATAATTATTGTAAGTTCTCGTGGTATAGAGGGAAAAATTAGACTGGTTTAATATGTACTTTCTTCTTTTCATAGTGGATTTTTAGTCTAATGCTGCTCCCTTATTTTTTTCTTGTTCTCAGGTTATTCTATGTTAAACTTTTGTGTATTATTTAACTAATTTTTTGTTGTTGTCCGTTTCTATTGAATTTATTATTTTTGATAACTCAAATTAGTGTTATTTTTTCACTGTGTTGTTTTGATTTTTAATCAATCCAAACCCTAGTTTCTATCCTGATAAGTGGTGTGATAGGGAGAGGTTTCTTCTTTGAAGAGTTTTGATTCAAGTGGGGGTAATGGCTGATGAAGCAATGTACATGATGGAGAAGTTCATTTGATTAAATTGTGTTATGGAGAATGCAAGTGAATGATTTTTTGTATCAAAAAGAAAAAATATACTTGTTACTATAAGGAATCACCAAGAAGATTAAATCAATAACTCTAGAAGATTTGATGTGCTGGATCGAATAACCGCAACTTTGATCCGTCCTTATTTTCCTTTTCTTTTACATTTGATAGAGTAAATGAGATAACTATAGTGTATGTCATGGTGACACCGATAAGGATGAATGAAAAATATTCCACTTCAAATAAGTTTTTTTTTTCAATAAAGAGATTATTTAATATGAGATGGAAGGGAGTACAGTGGTTGAACACTTGATCAATTTTAACACGGTGATTAATTTGTTGTGTTAAGTGGGCATCAAGTTTGATGATGAAGTTAGGGAATT